GCTGTTAGCGCTCTGAGTGCTCATCAGTAAGTCAGCCGCTCTGCTCTAGGTTTGGGATCAGCTGCAATTTAGTGACAAGGGTCAGGCAAATGGAAAAAATATGGATTTCTTTATTATCAGGGTTTCATGGGCACAGAGGCTGAGTCCTACACCCAAGGGCGCTTCCTGCCGCTTCCCCCAAGGTCAGCCTTTGGGTCAGTGCTCCTGTGGGACAGTCGGCCCTGAATAGGGGCGGACGCCTGCTGGGACAGTGGCCCTCAGATCCGCTGTCTCGTGACTGCCAAGCTCCAACAGGGGCTGAGACATGCTTGGCCCTGGCCTCTGGGAGATGCAGGAGCATTTTCCTCAGTGGGCAGGGGGTGAGGTAAAGCACAGGTGGGAAGGAGATGCCAAGCGAGAGGAAAGGAGAAGGGTCCAAGTTAGCTGCCAGCCTTTGTGCTCCAAGGGAGGGGAGGCATTTCTTCACAGAAATACCAGCCTAGGGGGACAGAAAGCCCCTGAACAGTGACCCACTTACTTCATAGCCTCTGTTCAAACAAACAGGGTATTTCAGAGCTTTTGAAAGATTCTGCATTTTTTAAAGTTTAAATTAAAAATGGCCTAATATTATACTTTGGTAACAAATTCTTTTAAAAATATACAGCAGTTGGGCCAGCCAGATAGCTCAGCAGATTAAAGTGCCTGCTTAGGCAGATGCAGGGATCAGGGCTCGATCCCCAGTGTGCTGTGCCAGCCCGGGAGTGCCGAGATGGTGACTGAGACTGCATGGTGGTGCGTACCTGTAATTCCAGCACTTGGGAGGCTGAAAAACAGGAGGATCACTACGAGTCTGAGCTATGCAGTGAGACCCTGCAGACCCTGTACTAAATACATTAAAAATAATACACAGCAATTTTTCTCAAAAGATTAAAAAGTAAACTATTACTATCTAAGTCAGCCTCCTGAGGAAACTGAGTCTGAAGTATAGATATTTAAAGAAATTCAACTTTATTATAGTATATTATAACTGACTACAGAAAGGACTGGAAGTAAACAAGAATTAAAAGGTAATTCAGAGGGGGTTAAAAACCTTTCAAACTTTTCCCCCTCTGCTGCTAGCTGATACCCTTTTAGGGACAGCAGAGACTGAGCAGCCTTCCAACAGCCCTCCTTTCTTTATCCTAATCTCTGGAGCAATTTCCTCTCACTGGTGGTCAGTAACAGCCTGGAACCGAGGCTGCAAGTTCAGGAAAGCGAGAAAGGCCTCAGAAGATCTTGCGTCTGCCGCTTTAGGGCCCCTGAGTCTCGAACGTGCTCTGTGGATTTCGGGTCAGCAAATGCAACAGTCAGGTTTCTGTCTCGATCCTCCGGCTTTGTGTTGCACATGACACCTTCCGACAGATTCCTGGTCCTACCGCTAGGGATTCTCATTATACACGTTTTGTGATCCACATTTAGGTTATTTTTTTGATTGGCTACAGACGATGCTTTCCTCCTCAAATTTTCTCCACTGGCTCTTTTTTTTTTTTTTTAATGGCCCATTAGATCTCATTCTGCCTCCTGCCCACTCCTTTTCATGTCCAAGGCGTGCTCGCTAGCTAAGGAAGGATCAAGTCTCCCCATAAGGGGCCCTCCCTGGAAGAGCTAGGGAGGGCCCTGTGGGAGCCCTGGACCAGGTTCTTCTAACTGGCAGGAAAGACTTTTCCCCTCTGAATGTAAAGCTGTGAGGACATATGGCATACTGCCTGGGACCACAGAGCCTGCAGGAGGTGACATGCCATGGAAAGGAGGCCAACAGGCAGGGAGAAGCAGGGAAGGGAGACAGGAGATGGGAGAGAGGAAAAAGAGAAAAGCAGGCTGACTTGACAGCCCCTGAGGCCCTGGAGGTTATTCCTAAAGCCAGACTCTTCGCTTTCTTTAGTTTGGTTAAATGCACCCCCGCGTTCTCCTTTCTCGCCAAAGCTAAGCCGAGGTGGATTTCTGTCCCTTGCAACCAACAAAGCCCTTCCTAGCCCATTCCTCTAGTGCCACCCTGGTACACGGTTGAGATGAATTTTTCTACGCAGCTTCAAACCAGCTTTTGGCTATCTCGAAAACCATATAGAGCCTCTCAATGTCCCCAAGGTACAGCATGACATCTTTCACTATCACAATATCCTGTTTGACTTTATAGACTTTTTACTGTGGCATCACAAAAGGGGCCAAGTGGGATATTGTCTGTGCCTCAAGCGAGCTCCCAGAGTGCCCTGCTTTTGCCTTGGCCTTGCTAATTTTGCCTTCTAGAATACCTCCTACCCCACCTCTGCCTGCTGAAATCTGCAGAAGAGAAAGAAGAGGCGGAAGTTCCTACTCCTTTTTAAGGCCTGTTCCACATTACAAAGACCTCCCTAAGTACTTTCTACCCTGAAAGATGTGACTCTGTCCCTCTTCAGCCTTGACAGCATTTACCTCTGAACTCTATTCTGTTGTACCTGAGTGGAATTGCTCCGTTCCTGAGTGGAAACTTGAGGCGCTCTTCCTCATCCCACCACCTACACTTCCAGGTCCATCCTAACCTTCCTCTGAAGTTTTCCCAAGTCAGTCCCAGCATTCCCACCACTCACCAGTCCCTCTTCCCCCGACAGGTCTTACCCTTTCATCAGACTTGGCTTACTCCAATCTATGTGCCTACAGACACCAGGTAACTTTGGCTGTATACAAATCTGATCATGCTCTGCCCAGTCTAGAGAGTCTAGGCCAACAGTTCATACTCTCCATTGTCTTGGCTTGTCTTGACCTCTCCAAGCTCTCTGCCAGCTACTCCTCAAGAACACCAGCCAAACCAGAATGTTTCTGGTCTCCCTACTGCCCCAAGTGCCTTAACGTGGCTCACTTTTGCATAGATGGTCTGCTCTGTGTATGAAGGTCTCTCACAGTTCTGTCTGGAAGTTCTCAGATTTCCAGTACTCCCTCCACTGAGAATCTTCTTGGAGCGCCTCAGGTAACAGCACTTGTATCAGCCCCCAGCTGATGTGGCAGGGAACATCCCCTCTGCGTTGCCAGTCACCGGCACAAGGCCCAGCACAGCGTACTGGTGCTCAATAAAGTATATCAGAGCTACCAGAAGCCCAGGTCTTCCATTACCATTTGAGCTAGTACAAAGCCCTGCTCTGGCTCGGCCAACTTCGCTGGTGTCCAGCACTGGACAAATAGATTCTTCATGGTAACAAAATACCCATGGACACTGATATCCCATAACACTCTGAACCTGCTAGAAGTGCAGCAATTATAGTTTTCTTTCTTTTTTTTTTTGTGCAGGGTCTCACTACACAGCCCACATTAGTAGTGATCCTCCTGATTTCTGCCTCCCAAGTGATGGGATTACAGGCGTGCACCACCACGTCTGGACTCCATCGCTGGCTCAGTGCACCCGGGGGCAAACCCTGGCTCCTGCAAGCGCTTAGTTCACAGAGCTATACTGCTGGCCCTAGTGAAACAATTATAAATTTAACTACAGTATAGGATCCTTTCAGATTTCAAATTGGGTTCCCACTGCCTAAGAAAGTTCAGACCCCTTCATAGGTATATACAAGGAGTGACAAAATTCTTTTTATGTATTGTACTACAGGTGGCTACTCCTTTAGAGCAACATTTTCAACACTTGTCATAGATGAGCTACCTAAGGAGTTTTAAAAAATACTGGCGCTGTATCTCATCCCTGCCTTGAGAGTTTTGGGGAGACGGAGCACACCTCCACACATTCTAAAGCTTTGGTGAGTGTCACATGGTGCAGGCCCTGCTGAGAACCCTGGGTTTCATACCTGTCACCACTGCTGGCATACACTCTCAGGGGTGCTCGCTCTGTGTGTTCTCTTGGTTCAAGGCAGCCTCCTTCCTCATCCTGCCTGAGCCATGTTCATCCTATGGGGCTGAATTCCACTGCGGTCCCTTCTGTCCTCCAGCTGGTTACCGCCTCTGACAGCACTTTTCTGGTGCTGTCAACCACTGGAGTTGTTATTTGTTCATCTCTATGGCAGGGGTCTGAATTTAGACTTGACTAGCAGACACACCCTGTAAAGGCAGGCATTTACAGTGGCCCTCCTTCACACGCCTCAGATCCACAGAGTCAGAATGCCCGTGGATGGGCCTCACTCTGAGTTGTCCCTTGGCTCCCCAGGGAGCTTGACCCACACCCTACCCAGGATGTGGCATCAATAAACACCTCTTACATTGAATTGACAAGCATTTCCTTTGTTTGAAAGTTAATCACATTGTCGCACCTCGTCACTTTTTATTTCCCTGGAGAGCCAAGCACCCCTTCTTTGTAGCAGCTTCTTCATCCAACTAATATTATCTAATGTTTTTACAAATGCCTGCGGCTCTGGAGAATACAGTCACACGCTAAGGGACTTTGAGTCCACAGACACATTAGTTCTAGTAATTATTATTATTATTTGTTCTTTCTCTTTTTACAGTTATTGCAATTTTTCTGTAATGAAATTTTTTCCTTGCACTTTCCAGGGTAAGGGAGACATCTTCTGTCATACCCCCAGTAAGTCGCTGGCACATGGAGGGCATGCTGCAGTGTGCACTGACTCAAAGCAATCCATTCATGGCACATAGCATAGTTATTAGCGCACCCTTACGTGACCATTTGACTAGGGGCTACTCAGCCAGGAGATGGAAGCCTCCTGCGGACAGGACCTGAATCTCCTTTCTTCATAAAGCCTAACCCAGAGCCTTGCCAAAGTAGGTGTCAACAAACATTGCCAGAAAAAAAAAAAATCCATGACTAAGGCATCATCAAGAACAGAAATGCAGGGCTGAGGAAACAGCTCAGCAGCTCAACACCTGCCTGCCAAGTGCAAGGTCCTGAGTTCAATTCCCAGCACCATAAAAAAAAAAAAAAAGAACAGAAATACAACCTCCCAACCAATCTTCCACTGCCCTCTCCTTCCCTACTATTCCCTGAAGGGTAGGAAGTATACTATTTCTGAGCACAGTGGACACAAACCAAAATGCTGCTTCTTTTACTTACTTACAGGTTGACCTGGGACTCTAGTTCAGGGTCTTTCGTTGGCCACGTCTGAAGAGGTTGGATGCCAAAGGACAGAGACGACTTGGCCTTCCAGAGAAGGGTTTGTGCCATCTGACTCCCACAGGACCCCTTGGTCATCGGATCCATCAGCGGGGCTGAAGGCTGAAGCGCTGTGCTGAAGCAGGAGTTGGGAAAGGCACTGAGAACCTGAGAAGGAAGGGTGTGGTCCACCCCCACCCCAATAGCCCACTCAAATGCCAGAAGCAGGGCACTTGGAGGTGCTCCCAAGACACAGGTGCCCACTGAGGGTGAAGTGTCACACTGCTCGGGGCCCTGTGCTGCCCTGGAACAGCCCAAATCCTAGCGTCTCCCTCAGCCCTGAGTTACGTTACCCACAGGGTATAGTCAGTGAGACTCTGCTAGTCAGTGTGACTATGTGTTATGTGTGCCCCCTCCCAAGTTCACATGTTGGAACTTAACCTTCTTGTGAAGTTATTAAGAGGGCAGAAACTTAACTCAGCTATGGTGTGCAGAAGAGGGGGCTTTGGAAGGTGACTACAGTTAAATCAGGTCATCAGGCTCAGCCTCCATCACTGAGCACTGTGGCTTTGTAAGAAGAGAGAGAAATCAGAGGAGGCACAGACACACGGCACAGTCCCTTTTTCTTGCCCCATAATTCCCTGTGCCACCTCAGGATTCTGCCAGGAGGAAGGCCAGTGCCACATGCAGCCTCTCACCCTTTGATGAGAACTGTGGGCCAAAATGAATGTGTTTTTATGTATAAAGTTACCCAGCCTCAGATACTTTGTCATAGTACTGAAAAGTAGACTAATACAGATTTAAAGATCCTGGAAACTTTCAAAAATCACAAACTTAAAGGCAACACTGACTTGATAACGGAAGCTATGTCTACGTACCCAAGTCTTCTGCTTTTGGAGAGATGGTGGGAACTAATGCCTATCAATAGGGTAGTTCAGTAATACTTGGTTTATCTAATTTCTAGTTAACACATTCAAAAACAAAGAGCTCAGAGTGGTAACAACACTGGAAACCAGAAAGATCAAAATTCACATTTTCAGCGGCACGGCATGTGGTGTGCAAACAGTGAACGCCTGTAGAGTTCATAAATAGATTGCTTATAGGGCTGACTGAGAAAGGCATTCCTGGGGTGTGCTTGCTCTTGCCCTGATGGTGCACCGAGGAAGGTAGGAAAGGCAGGTTGGGGTACAGGGTTGCTTTGTGAGGAGCTGCAGGCCCCCCCTGCTCCTTTTGATGGGAACAATTTTTTGAGCCAGTTAGCAGTGCCTTCCCCCCTCAAACAATAGACAAACAAGCCAACAAAATACAATTACCTGGAAATGGAAAAACATAAATAAAAAGAAATCTTGGATAACATTTGGTCAAGAGGTACTCTTTATGATGTCTTTTTTGGGGAAGTATTAGAGATTGAGCTCAAGGCCTCACACATACTATGTGAGTATAGTCCTCTACCTCCAAGCCCCATCCCCTACACCATCCCTTTTTACTTCATAAATATTGTCTTTTGAGTACCAGAAATCTAACTCAGAACCTTATGATTGCCATGAAGGCACTGTGCTGCTGAGCTATATACCTGACTTCTTTACTTTTTGAGATGGGGGTCTAAGTTCTGTGGGCTGAACTCAAATTTATGATCCTTCTGCCTCAGTTTCCCGAATATCTGGGACTATGGGCATGTGTCAGGGAGTTTAGCTCTTTATAATGTCTTCTTTAAAAATACTATGAAAAGGCGAAAGACGGGAGACACAGGTTCATGGCAGTACGATCTGGGGAGGGTTTGCACAGGAAGCTGCAGCTGCTGCAGGACTAGATGCTCAGGGCAGCGATCCCCTGCTGGGTATCTGGGAGTGGCCAATGCCCACTCCAAGACACTCTAGTAGAGCCAAGTAGGCCCAAGGCTGAGGCTTGCCACAAGCAGAAGTCACTCCAGTGACATGCTTCCTGCAGGATGCAAGTCCCCGAGTCCTGCCTGTCCCTGGGCCTCTTCCCTTGCTAGGACTCCCTGGTGTTCATCCTTTGTGTATGAAGACACTCAGCTCTCCTCAGCACTTGTCCAGGGCCGGAGAAGTAACCTGCTGCACATCGGACCCAGACTTTGAGTTTGTCTTGCCCCAGGCTGCTCAGGCCACTTAACCTTAGAGCACCTAGACAGGCATCAAAGGCTCTGGCCTTCCAGCTACCACAAGAGACAAGAGCCCACACTGCTCTTTAGTCAAAGGCACCCGAGACTTCTAAGTCTGAGTCTACAGCTGCCTTAGCGCTGAAACAATAAATAAAGATGAAGAATGGCTTTGGAAGGAGAGATACACTTCCTTCTTGTTTTTCTGAATCCTTGAGAGCTTTTAGACAGCATCTCCCAGTCCAGACTGCCCTTGAACCAAGTAGCTCCGTAACACTTGCATATAAAAGATTAAGAAAATGCTCTCAAACTCCCAATATATTAGTCAAGTTTTGAACCCTGTGACAAAACAGCTGACAGGAGCAATTTCAAGCAGGAAGGGTTTGTCCTGGCTCCTGGTTTCAGAGGTTTGGTCCGTGGGCTGGCTCTGTTGCCTTTAGGCCTGAGAGGGGCTGAAGAGGCAGAGAGGGAGGGCAGAGCAAAGCTGCGCCTGTCCTGGCAGTGGAAAAGCAGAGACTGAAGAGGCAGAGAGGAGTTGGGCCAGAAAAACCCTTCAAAGCCACACTCCCTGGGACCCACTTCCTCCACCGGTCCCCACTGAGCCCGCTGTGCTGGGGACCAAGCCCCTAATCCAGGTGTCTGTGAGAAATGCTTCATATTTATTCCTAAACCATGATACCTAGTGCGGGCATGCAGAAAGCAGGACAGGAGGCAGGAAGGAGCTGGGTAAGGTTTTGGTTTCAATTCGATCTATGCTGCTGTCCAGCTCGGTGGCCACTCGTGAAGTGACTATGGAGCAAATGAAATGTGGGCAACCCAGCGGGAGCCATGCAGGCGTGGCACACACTCAGGCCTGCGGAGAGACAGTGCAAATCAAAAGCATGGCAAAACTTGTCACCAATATGTTTTTACACCAGTGACATGTTGAATGATAAATCATTAGAATTTTAATGTGGCTGATCGAAAAGCTACAATTCCACATGTAGTTGGCTTTATTGTGCGGACAGAGCTGCTTGGAGCGAATGACTCCTCAGAGCTGTGCCCGCCTGAGCCAAGGAGCTGGGCTCTCACATTCCTGCAGCCTCAGTCTCTGGTGGGCTGGGGGCTGCGGGGTGTGGGTGACAACAACTCAGAGCTCCCTGCACAGGCACAAGGCAGCCAGAGGGGGTGAAGGCTGGGCAAACACGAGGTGCCTGTGTGGGGCTGGAGGAGCACTGGAGGGATAGGGGGGTCAGAGTGTCCGAGGGGACCCAGGGGACCAAGAGTATGTATGACACGGCTCCCTTTGCTTGCCTTCCTCTCCAGTTAAGTCTGCTTTCCTATCATTCCTTCCCCTGCAGCTGCAAATCTGTATGTGACCTCCATGCCTGGCCATCTGGCGAACCCTAGGTCTCGGACATCTCTCCACAGCAGTGCCAGGAAATGGTCATGGTTTGCATCTAAGTGGCCCCCTAAAGCCTCCTCTGGCCTTGGCAGGGCAAGGGATAGGCTTTTCAGGGGTAGCAGAATCTAGAGTTTGTGATTGGTTCACTGTCAGGTACTGGGACTGGGAGTGTGAGTGCTACACCCGCCCTAGGGCAGGTAGCCTGCATGCACTATGCAGGACAGGAGAAGCTCACTCCTCTCGTTTGTGCTGCTTTTGCTGTCTTCTACCACGATGCATGGCTGCGCCTTTGTCATGTGCCATTCTTCCTTGGAACCAGCCAAATAATTTAGCTCTACAAAGTGTGAGCTAAATAAACCTTTCCTTCCTTAATTTTGGGTGTTAGGTATTTTGCCTCAACAATGAGAGAAAAGTAACCAAGACAAAATGTTTACAATTCTGTTCTTCAGCTGATAGCGGCCAGACCCCTCAACCTCAGATACAATACTAAGATTGCTTCAGCATGTTACTTTCTGGCCCTTTAATCTTTAAGATTTTTGTTTAAACATTTAAATGTCAGCTCTCTTATGCCCTTCCTGCTAGTTAATCTTTTTACCCTAATGTTAGGTTATGTTCTCTAAGATTTTCATGTCATTTTTTAACCTTTGTTTTCTAACTGTTCAGATTCTGTCGTCACCATTCGTTTTAGCTCACGTTCACTTCTTTTCCCCTGTGTGTTCTTAACTTTCTGATTTAGAACACTGTATGTTCCTCTTAATCTTCTGACACTTTATTGGCTCACTGTGTAAAATATTTTGTGGTTGGAGAACTTCTTGCAAAGATGGCAGCCGCACTGGTCATTGTGTAATTCCTTGGAACTCATGGCCCAGGAGCTAGAAGAAAATGGGCTGACGTGAGAGGATGTCCAGAGAACGCTGTAACTGGAGACCTGCTGCAAACAGGACTGCTCTGAGGGCCAGCCCCTGGCCACTGCTGACCCAAGTGATGAGGCCCTTGGGCAGTGCAGAGGACAGGGCAGGTTTCTTTTTGTTGTCCAGCTTTCTGACAAGAAAGGGGTCCTGGTCTGAGGAAAGGCTGAGAGAAGGATGTGTGTGCTGGGCATGTGAACCTCTCCAGAGGTATCTAGCAGAAGTACAGTAGCATGCGGAAGGGAGGGCCATGTGTCACAGGAGGTCACCCTGACCCAGAGCCTCTCTGGTGGGTCCTGGTGATCCTAAATCAGGAAGCTGGGTAGCAAGGCAGGCTCTGTGGAGCGGCAGACTGGCTCAGCAGTGGGGCCTTGCAGAGAAGCCATGGGGACAGTGAAAATGGAGGGCCAGTGTCCACTGTCTCTGAAGCCTTTTTGGTTGAAAAGACCAGACCTACAGCCAGAGTGCAGAGTGCAGCTTGAACAAAAGGGGTCCAGGTGGATCCACCCGCATTCCTAGAGCAGGCAGACAGGTCTGCGCCTGTTCCACAGCCACCAGCACAGGCCAGGCAGAACTGTAGCAGGGGGCAGGTGGCAAAGGCACAGACCAGAAGACTTGAATGGAGCGCAAAAGAAAAATCATGACAATGGCCTTGTTCCTGCAAGAAAATGAGAGTACGAGGAGGCCTCTCTCCAAAGGTCACAGCGTCCGCACACGCACTTCTC